TCTCTCTCTCTCTCTCTCTCTTTCTCTCTCTCTCTCTCTCTCTCTCTCTCTCTCTCTCTCTCTCTCTTTGCTTCCTCTCAGCACACCTCTCTATCTGCTCCAGCTGTACCACCACCTTGTCATCTTCGGTTTCATTTCTTGGCAGCAAAAAAAAAAAAGAATGGATCTATAATTTTTCTTTTAATTCGCAGACTTTCGATTGACTTAAAAAAGAAAATATTTATCCATTTCTTTGCGTTTTAGTATTTTTTTTTCTCTAATGGCAAGACTTGCTCATTGTGGTCTAACTGAGACGTGATGCTTCAGGATTTAAGTGCGAGTGTCCTCTTTCCACCGCGTCTGCAGCACCGAAGTTTCGGTTAGTGGTGAATATTGTTCATGTTATTTATTCGACTTTGAATCGTTTTTATGTGCATGTGCATGTTCCTCGTGGTTTCTTTGCTTGACTTTTGTACTTACATCTCATTAAGAAGCCACTCGCTTTGACTATTGCATGTAATCTGAAAGTTTATGTCAGTAGAGTGCGAGTTGGGTATTTTAGAGATTAACAGTGAAAAGTTGAATATATTTTTATACATTCAGGGTTAGAAGCTGTTTGTGATTTGCTCCGTCAGAGTAAAACTGAGAAATCCAAATAGAGTGTCAAGTTGTACAGCGTGAAAGCACATAAGTGCTTGGAAAGAGTGATTTAAACTCTTTTTTGCATGTATAAAAATCTGAAAAGTAAAACAAATTACACGTATTTTTAATACAAACAAGCCAAAGCACTGTGGTCCTTGTCTCAATAGTAATACAAAACTGCTTCTTCCCTTTACTGCACAAACTCGGTTAAACATACACTGTTATAAGAATAGAAAAACCTAATTGTTAAACATTAAAAGTTTGCGTTAATTCAAAAAAAGCAATTCTTAGAATCAGTTTTAATGTGTAAAATTACAGTTTGAGTTATTTCTTAGTCCTTTAATCAAAATTTGGAGAATTTAGAAATGATTAGAACATTTTGACGTTGACTGTAATAATCCTGTTTTATTTGTGTAAATCAAGTCAATGAGACTTTGTGATTTTTAATAGGAGTACTTTTTGTATCGTAGTATTGCAGCAGTAAAATCTCAACCTCTGAAATCATTAACACATCAGTCAGTGCTCAGGCTATGAAGCCATGCTTCCAGTTGTAAAGTAGACCTCTCAAGTGCACAGTATAATTGAATCAACTACAATACTTTTTTCTTTAAATAAGGATTGAGTCGTAATACATCCCCTTTGGAAAAGTGTCTAGAGAAATCTTAACTCGCACCCTTCACACAGGTGAATAAGACTCTCAATCATTCATGGGCTCCATCTATTCTTTAACACATTAGAAAATGCTCGCAGTGCAATCCAAAGCTTTTAAAAAATGAAAAGTATGTGTTGAAACAGATATTGGAGCGGTCGAGCTGAAATCTGAGCAGCAGTTAGATTATGAGGCATCGCGGCGCACACCGTGGGGCGTGTAAAAGAAAAAAAGAATAAGACAGGATTTTAATATTTCAGTATCCAAAGTGAGAAAAGAGACGGCGGCGTGTGATAAGAGGTATTACTGTTAAAGATTACAGTTCTGCCTGTCGTGGATCAACGTGATGATGTACGCTTCAAGATTGTAGATTTAATGAATGACTTCCTGTCCATTAAGATGAAGAGGAATACCTTCCCATTTCTAAGATTTATTAGTTCAGGTAATTGGAACAAGAGGAGGAATTATGAGAGACGGACTGAATTTCCGACTCAAAGGCCGAGAGGTTGAGGGCGTTCGTCAGCTGACAGGCGAAGGTTTGACCCCCACACACCACGTCTGCCCTCCACCGCCACACAGCTTTTCTTTTCTTTTTTAAGACTTATTTAAGCACCTTTTTTTTGCCGGGGAAAAAAGATAATTTTTGAGAGATTTCTCTACTTTATTTGCTTTTGTGAATTCAATGATTTCTCTGTTACTGACAGCATATTGTTTCTCTAGAAATCAGCAGGAAGAATGTTTAAAAACTCAGATAGTCTCTCTTGCTCAGGCCTCGTGTTTATAGCTTCTCTCTTTTCCTCCTCACTCCCTTTTCCCCCTTCTGTCCCTTCTGTCCTTCTCCCTCTCACTTTTTTGTTTTTGTTTTGTGAATGGCGGCAGATTTCCAGCTCTGCCGTTCGTTCCTCCCCAGGAGTTTTTTGCAGAGATCAGCTGGCTCATTCACAGGCTGAGGCCGGTGACTCATCCATCCTGTACTTCCTTTTTGGGCACAAACACTGCTGCCTTTCTCTTTTTTTTTGTTTTGTTTCTCGTCTCTCCTCTCTTTGTCCCTTTTCCAAGCTCGGCTCTCTGAAGTTACTGAAAGTTTGTTTGTGTTGCGTTAATGGGACGAGAGCTTTTTGTGCGTTCCACCCTTGTTTCCATATTTTGCATTCTCGTCTTGGTTTGGATGTTGTGGTTTTGAGTTCTGGGGAGAAGAGGAAAAAAAAGATTAGAATCAAAGCGTTGAAGCTTCTAGAAGGTTTGAGTATCATGTGAGGTCTTTCCTTTGTATCTGTTTTTAGTTAATACATTATTCAAATGTTTGTGCTAGGGCCCTTTAAGAAAGCAGTGTAACAAAGTGGAGTAAAACAGCAAAGTTGTTTCCCAGATTCTTTCTGCTTTTCCAACCGGGTTTGAATGCAACTTGTATTGAAAAGACGTGCGTACAATCGAGAGCTGATGGCTTTAACTGCAGCAGAATCTGGAGTGAAATCATTATACGTCTTTGTTTGCTGCTCTCTTCACCCGCTTGACATTGTTGGAAAATATGGAGCAATTTCGCCTCTTGATCTGTTGATTGTTTACTCTCCTCAATTCACACCTCTGGCAGGGAGAAAAAACCTCATCCCCGATCATATCAAAAAAAAGACGGGAAATCAGTGTTTTTCATTTGAAAATCTCTAGACATGTGGAGACATGTTACCGATCCTGTGATAATGAGGATCCACCTCATTGTGTGTATAAATAGACATGCTAATGACACATTTAAATCTCCCTTTGCCTATCGCCAGAGAGAGACGAGCTTGAGGGACGTGGAGAACTGTCACCGAGTGTAAATATGTGTGATATAAATATGTGCATGCCTAATTGGAGCCGGAGCGGAGCAGGCTTCATTATTTTAGCATTAGCCTGAGAGCGCAGGGGCGTTTGAAGCATCGGAGGGTTTGGAACAGACCTGACTCGGTAGGTACAGGTGGATTCACCAGTAGGGAAGAAGCCAATTAGATACTGCTAACAATGGGTGTTTGGCTGCTGGCAAGCAGTGAGAGCCGAGGCTGCGGAGCAGTCAATGGACAGGGCGACCTCAGGAAGTGGAATTAGGAAGTAGATGGTCCCCTAAAGCAATGTATTAAAACCCTGGCAGGCTGGCGTTTGTTGGAAAACATGGTCCATTGTGCAGCTCATTTCAGAAAATCATGGACGACGTATTGTTCATAACATTTCAAGGTTATTTTGTACATCGATGGCGTCCGATTCTGTAATTTTGGAGCATTTCCTAGTTGCTCACAAGTATTTTTTTTTATTTTATTATCAAGCTCTTTTATTAAATCCCAAAATAATTATGATCCGGTAACTTCTTTTCACGGGAAATAAAGCTAAGAATTGTTTTAGATGTGATTGTTTGTGTGAAGATACACAGACACAAAAAGGATTGTTGCACTAGAATTAAGACAAATGACTTTGAGATTAAATTAAATAAAAATGTAAGCATGTTTTTAAAAATGGAAATTTGTAACAACTGATGGATAGAAAGCTCCAGAATGACCACGATATGAACTTTGTCATTGGATTCCTGATTTATTTTCTTTTTAAGAGATTTGTTTTAATACAAAGAAAAAAATAATTGTGTTTATTTGTTGTTTTTAGAAAAATAACACTCCTAGAGCTCAATAATAGATCAAAATGACTTGTCAAGATGAAGATTTTTTTGGCTGTTGAAGCATATAAAACCGTACTGCAACATTGGCACCAAGGAAAAAGAAAATACCTCTTGCCCCGATTCCCTATAAAACATATTCTCGGTGTTCTTTAACCGACAGCGGAGGCGAACAATGCCGGGATAAGCCAAGCTAATATCCCAGGAGACTGTTTGCCAGAGGAGGGTACTGGGCTGTGGAGAGCTGTGATCAATGCTGCGTTGTCCATCAACATCCGAAAACAATCATTCCCTTTCTTCTTCTCTGCTTGTGTCTTCAGCTCAAGTTCCCGACAATGACGAGCAGTTCGTTCCAGACTTCCAGACTGAAAACTGTGAGTAAGAGACCGCGTTGCTTTTCTCTTCTGTGTCGGTGTGCATGCTTGTGTTTATGTGTGTCAACATCTGTGGTAGTTTTTCCTCTTTTTTCATTTTTTTCCTTCACTCGTCTCGACGGGCTGTGTTTGTACTCGGGGAGAGTGAACGCGGTGGTGGTGGTGGTGGTGTGTGTTTTTCTCCGTGTCTCTCGATACCCTCACCTTTGCTCGCACAAGTGCTCTCTGGAGAGCTGCAGCAGTCTTGCAGGTCTGCAGGTGCATGGGCCGGGGGGGGGGGGCAGGTGTTCTCTGTCTCTCTGTCTCTATATCTGTCTCTCCCTTCCTTCGGTTGCTCATGTACCTCTTCACCACCACTGAGATATTATTGCACTGTGATTTATTTGCATAAACATCAAAATATTGTGGCAGACTTTTTTATTTTTTTCCCCAGTGGGTTGAAGTGATATTTTTAACTCCAGGTTGGACAAACTGCTGTCAATTGATGGCTGTTTTGAATTTTTCCAGAATAAAATCTTGCTCGTGCACGACCTTTCCTCAAAGTGCTTTTAGTGCAAACCATCCAGTGTGGTTAGCTTTTCTAAATCCAGCAGTTTAATATTAGTTAATACTACATTTATCCTTTTCAGTTGAAGGCTTGTTGGCCTCCTGGTATACAGTATGAAAGCAAGCAGGATTTTATTTCCTCCTTTCTCTATTTTTTTTACCGCATGAGAAAAAAAATCTGTTTTTAAAAATGCTCCTGAACAGTTTGATAAGAATGTCTTTGGCCCGACCTGAGCTGCTTTTACACTCTCAGTATTGAGGATTAGGTAGTTGGTCGTACTTCACCTGGTTGTGCACGGTGGTTGCACACTGGTGACTGGTGACTTGGCACGGCCCACTTCTGGAGGAAGTAGTGCCAAGGTGGGGACAGAAATGGAGTGAGTGGAGCTCAGTGGGACCCCGAGCGAGCACATGTCTTTCAGATGAGCCAAAACGCCCATGAAACTGTGAGAAAAGACACAAAACAAGTCTTCCCGATGTCCTCAACGCCCTTTAACCTGGAAACAAAGTGGGACAAAATGCAGAAGTGAGGAACTAGAACAAAGAGGAAAGGTCACGTGTGAAATTTGCATCGCTAACCTCTTAGTTTTACAGTAAATTGTTAGTTTTTTTGAAGACATTTGGGTAAGATTAAGTAGAAAACGATCTGGCATTAAGCTAAATCTAAGACATTTTAACCTTTTGTGAGCCGGTTCACAGCCTGAGCTACTCAAGCAGGTTCCTGTTGGTTGCTGAGATTAAAAACCAGACGAGGCCTGTAGCTAAGATTTTCTTTACCATTAAGTCTCAGGATGACAAGAACAGTATCATCCTTTCAAACGCATCGGCCTTCAAATTGTCTTACCCGGATTTTGCAACTTGTTTGTTAAATATTGTTAATGAATGTATCTATTTAGGGCCATATTTGCTCCACAGGCTGAATAAAGAAAAGCTAAGATTAAGTAAACCATAGTTAGACTGTAAAAACAAATAATCTTCATCCTCCTTTATGTCCTTCAAATATTTTGCCCTCTGAAGTTCTTTCCATTCATCCGGCTGGATTTTGTATTGAAACACACCACGAACAGTGAACTAAAATCCCGACCCTTTGGTGTGAATTAGCGTACCCTCACATCCAAGATGGAGGAGCGGTGCGGCGTACAGTAGAGAACCAGAGGTCACCGAGACTGTCCCGTTGTCCTTCAGAGGTAGCCGGGGTGGGTGGCCACGGTGGCAGGAGACTGCTGACCATCTGAAATGTCCTGTTGGCAAACCTGCAGCAGACTGGAGAGGCACTAACAGATGGCGGGAGGGTGAGGGCACCGTGGTTGGGCGCGCGAGCAGGCATCCCAGCCGGCAGCTCTCCCATATGGGTTTCACCGAGCGGAGAGACGGAGGGGCGGACGGGGAGGTAGAGAGCCAGAGATGAAGCTGGAAAGAGATTTATCTCGGAGTTGCAAGAGCGCGGAGAGAAAGACAGCGAGTAGGGTTGGAAGTTATTACATGGAGGGAATCTCATCCCTGAAATCAGCTTTCATGCGTACTACTTATTGTCAACAAATACCAAGAAAAGACCAAAACTAACAGTAAATGAATCATAAGTATTAGTAGTATTTAAGTATCGGAAGGCTGACACAGTTTATTCCTCTGTGCCATAGAGCTCCATTGTTGTCCAAAAACTGTTAATAACTATCTTTTACTTTTCTTTGCTAAAAACTACAGTGCCGACTTGTTTTAGGAAATTCCTTATTAAAAATGTAAAGAAATATTTGTGACCTCTTTTAAAGATTTACTGTTCATGTTGATTTGTTGACAATAAGGAATAATACCAATTAACAGCAGCCTTATTATTTAAGATCATTCAGTAACCTATTTTGGTGAAGTCAGTATAATTTACTCGGCCTGCAGAGTGCTGCAGCGAAGACGTACTTTTGTAGGCCAACCAGAAAGTTAGCATCGCTCTGGTTTCCTCCACAAAAAGGAAAAATCCCATCGGCTTATTATTGCAGAAAATAAGCTCCTTGACAAACAATCGTTAATGATACCTACGTGTTTTGTTTAGCAAGATAATCTTTACAAATGAACTCTGCTTAAATACAGTCGCCAGAGGTAAAAAGCTAACTTGAGACTATGAACGAACTACCCCACGTCCACATGACTTCACGTCACCACATTTAGCCATTTGTTAGCCTTTTTAAAGACACGTGAAACCTTCAAAATTCTCGAGTAGGGTATTTATGTTATGTTAACCACAGGCCTTATTTCAGGCATCAAACCAAAAACCCATCCAAAAAACCCACTGACTTCAATAAGAGTGAACTAGAAGTGAAACAAACGCTAGTTAAGTGTTACAAAATAATCCAGTACAGTCTACATTGTGTCACTCTTCATATAAGCATTAACTCGTCAGTCATTAAGTGTCTGCATCAAATTTCAATTGAACCAAATTAAGTTAACTACAGTTTACTGCAAACGCTTCGATAGTAGCATAGTTAGCATTAGCCAAAATGTAATTTGTCCTCTTATGTTGTTAGCATTACTGTTTACTAGCTAGTTTGCTCTCTATGCTAGCTTTTTGGTAGCATTAGCAAAATAAACAACTAGTGTAGCAACCATAATATTTCTTTCGTAAATGTAATGGTAATTAGCATTAAATGTAAATGTTGAAAAATATTTTGATAGTCAGCATTAGCCAAAAAGTAATTGTTCCAGTTGTGTTGAAAGCCTGAACATTTGTTTTCTAGGTTGCTATCTGTGTTAACTAATTGGTAGCATTAGCAAGATAAACAACTTGTGTGGCAACAATAGTATTTTTTCTCAGTAAAATATTCTGACAGTTCTTAATCTTATTTTGAATCCAGTAAATATATACTCGGCATAGTCTTGAATCTGAATCTCTACTATTACTCCATTTTAAATTAGCGGATTTTTACATAAATTATTTTTAAATACTTGTAGTAAATATTAGTAGTAAAACAATAGTATTTTAACATTTTTATGTGCTTAAAAAAATAAGTGAATTTGGATAAAGAAATAATCTGGGGTTTTGTAGCTTCAAAGATTGTATCAGAAAGGAAATTCCTTTCCCTGGATGTTGTTTTATTTTTTCGTGGCTTCAGATTTATCACCTCTCAGGAAGCTATGGCAGTTTCTCTCAATGTCGACTTCGCACTCTCCATCCATGCAGCACAGAAGCAGCATGTGAGCGGCCTCGAAGCGAAAGTGTCCTCGGGCTGAAGGAGGAGAAGGAGAATTTTCTTTGTCTCAAACTCCAACACAGATGCTTGCCATTAGCATAACTTAGCAGGGAACGAAATAGTAGCGGAGGTGTAAAATGAGGCCACACGTTACCAGCAGATCTGAGCCTCCGTCATTTAACAGCAAAGGCGAGCACCTACAGTAGGTGAAAATGGAATGGAGGGTTTTTTCGCTGTTGCCAAAAGACCTGTATTTCTTTTTATGAATGGACCGGAGAAATATCTGCCAAACGCAGGCTCCGATTCTGCCAAAACACACCGTTTGTACCTGAGAATACATAACGCTTGGGGCCAAGAGTTCTTTGACAATGTACCAAAATGATTGCCAGAAAAATGGCAGCTAAAATTGAATTGTTAGAACCGAGTTTTGTGAGGAAATATATGAAGATTAAATAAATCTTGGACAAGCTCAAATACTCAAGGAATTGTGTTTTTTTAAGATTTCTATTGAATCTCTCCACCAAAGATCAAAAAAAATTGCAGACAATTTAAGTTAATGGCTCAGAAGGAAAAACGCAACGACAAAAAAAACATTTGCATTCGAAATAGACCCAGTAATTGTTCTAACTGCTTCTACTTTTAAACACCTCGCCATCTCGGCTAATCAATATGTAGATAATGAGAGCAATCAAGCAGTGATGGGCATGACATTCTGGACTAAAAAGGAAGTCTCTGTTTTCGTCAGAGGCAATGCCCTCGCTATTGATTTGTGTACCTTGGCACCCCACTGACGAAATCTATTGTGACATTTCCATTTCTAATTCGAGGCCTTGCGCTGCAGCACACAAGATGCTATTGTTAATGGCTGATGTGACGCAGTAGTTAAACATTTTTATAGACGTATGTAAATTGAATGAACTGATGTCGATTTAGTGTTAAATGAAGAAAATAAATGTCATCTGGCATGAGGTGAGCCGTAAACCAGAAGTCATTGGGAGACGTTTTGAACTCAGAAAAAAAGAAATAAATGTTTGTTGTTAGTAGGTAATTAAAGTGACACTGAACATTCATAACTACGGTATTGTTTTGACTCCGTAAGCCCTTAACGAGGCTCTGCCATGCCACCGTCGTCAAAGGTCTCCCCTCAGGAAGTGTCTCTTTGACCTCCGATCGATGACCCGGAAAGGTCAGGCCCCCAGCGAGGGCTGCGAACAACCCCTGAGCTTTGTCATGCCGGGCCCGTGTGGCCCGTCCCCCAGGGGCTCGGCTGTGCGTCAGAAGGGGTGTTGGCAGATCGACCCCTGCTCGTACGGCAGCTGTCAGTCAGCCGTGAGAAAACTCCCCAAAACATCCTCCTCTCTCAGCTCCTTGCAGCCGTAGAGACCGTCCGGAATGTTGGTGTATTTAAAAGAAAAATACTCCCAAAACCACAGATTTGAGTCTCTAGGGTTATCAAATGTCTAAATGTTTGTACTTTAACTTCTCCATTCATATTTTCAGCTCACCCCTGTTTTTAAATCAGGAAAAACTGGCCGTCTCTCAGCCTCAAACGTCAGTCTAAAATCATTCCCTTCAACCGAGGGATGCTGTGGGGACGGCCTCACCGCTGCTTTGTGTGCAGCCGCGGTGAGACGGCGATTGGCGAGGCAACCCGAGCCTGACTTCATTCTGACTGACTCGGTTTTTTTCCGTCAGAAGCGCAGCCAATTGGATTAGCGTTGATCATGACTTGAGATGATGGCATGTTAATCAGGACTGATCAGGCACTTAACAGATGCACCGGGCTCACTGTGGGGCCATAGGTAGCCCCCCCCCCCCCCTCACCCCAACCCCCTCCAGATCAATGAGCCCCGTTGTTGACGTCTGGAACGTATTGACAGCCAGCTGAAAGCAGATAAAGCATTTACAGGACGTCCAGTTTTATGATTGTCATATTTCACTAAAAGAGTCCCTGTCAGGAATAAAAGGCCAAACAAATGACATTTGAAGTGAGTTGTTTGTGTCGGCGACGTCAAATCTGTCGGTGAACGGATGCTTCCAAAAGTCTTTTAACTTATCCATCATGAATTGTCTGAATCACACACATTCATACATGTACATATATTAGTATATTTACTAAATATGGCTGCCTGCGGTTCATACTGTGGTACACAGATGACGCTTTGTCCTTTTGTTAGATATCGTTTAATGGTCACATTCTAAAAACCAGCAGCAAAATGTATTAATTTGATTGTTTTTGTTCATGTTTTTTGTGAATGATTTTGCAGACGATAGATGTAGTGGTTAATCTGCCACGAACAATTGTTAATCCTAAAAAAAAATATTCAAGTTGATTGCGTGAATTTCTGTCCAATGAGGACAATGTATAAATGCTACTTCAGGGGCTTATTCTTCTTGCTTAAAATAATATTCTGCTGTAAACCTATGCAGAAATACTGAGCACTACCAAAAAAAAGTCATCTGCACTTTCATAAAAACAAAATCTGCACTTGCTCTTAAAACCTGTCTATGATACCTAACAATGTTGATAGGGAGGTGGTTTGTTGTCGTTCAGTATCTAAATTACTTTGTCCCCCCCCCCCTCTCCCTCGGTGCGTAGTGGCTTTCCACGGACTGCAGCTGAAGATCAAGAGGGAGCTGCACAGCCCGTGTTCAGAGCTGAGCTCCAACTGTAGTCAGGAACGGCCCTTCAAACTCCAGTATGGAGAGAAGTGCCCCTACAACGTCAGGTGGGCCCCGCACGACACCGAAACCTACTTCAAGTACTCCTCTAAAACACAACTATTTAAACATTTTCAAATTATAAACAGCCGCCATTTGTTATTTTGGTTTCACATTCCGTCCTTAAGCAACAACAAGAGCTTTATCGTGAAATGGTGAAAATTAGTTTTGAGTATTTGAGATCCGGTCATGGCATTAGTTGAATATTATGTTATTATTATAATATTATTTTTATATTTTAGGCTTTGACCAGCCATCGGTTTATTTTAGGTAGTTATATATTGAGCTTCAGTTGTTGTTTAATTCATTTTAGATTGTTCAGCACTCCATATTTCTCTCAAAATGACTTTAATTCATATCAAATTAGACGTACTTAGAAACTCCTGGCGTCTCTTATTTTATTTCTAAGTACAGTCATGTTGAGTTTTTTTTTTGTTTTTTTTTACTTCAAATAAACTGATCTGTATTCACAACATTAATTCTCTTTGCATGCTCGTATAATGACCTTGTATGCAGAGAGAAACTGTTTCATAAGTGATGAATCATGTGTGTGATTCATTTGCTCACCTGGCAGGGCTTGCTTTACATTAAAACCTCCACAGTGTACGCCAAGAGCTGGTGTGATGTGTCTTAATATATCCACCGAAACAAGGCAGCATGCGTCTGAGCTGACAGAAATCGTAGAAGGACAAATGTGTGGCAAACAGAAGAGAATATAGGACTTTTTTTTACCAAAATCCCTTAAAGGAAATACAAATTTAACATGATAAAGAGTGCAAAAGCTCTGTAAAATGAGTTTTAATCCACCTTTTGTTTGACATTTTGCATAGTCAGAGATTTGCTTCTCGGACACGGTGCGCTAAAGTATTGGAAAGTAAAGTAACATTCAGTAAAACCCTCTATCCCCCTTTTTTTCTTTTGTTGAGTATTTGTTGAGTATCTGAATTGTAAGTCGCTTTGGATAAAAGCATCTGCTAAATGACTGTAATGTAATATTTCTTTCTTTTCACACAAAGTATCTTCCATATTTACCTCACCCACTGTAAAACATGTCAGCAACAGAATCAGATGCACAAGTGTATGGATAAAGCCTTCTTCCTCCACATGTAAGACATAGCACAAAGCACATGATGAAATTCTGTGATTAACATACGGGGGCTTTTCTCATCATGAAACACCTCAAACACAAACAAGCAGCACTAGAAGCATATTTGACTCTCGTCCTCTGTTTGCCACAGTGCCTATGAGCAGAAGCAGCCTGCAGGAATGAAGCCCTCCAGCCCAGTGACTCCCCCCTGTAGCACCCCTGTGTCCCCCCTCCACCATGCCTCACCCACGGCGGCCCCGACGCCCAAACCAGACAGGACCTACGCCCACATACCGGCCTCGCAGCCACTCCCTGACAGCGCCTACTCTATGGACCACAGGTACCGCAGCCGTTTACATTTACATCCCATTTACATGTGGAGATTATCACATGATGTGGATCAGCGTTTTAGTCACGGTGGAATCTCATTGGTCCAGTATTTTCAGTGGGAGGAGCCAGCAAACTGCAGCAAATGTTATCTAACGGCTCAGTCTGACTGACAAAGACGTAACTCAATATACTGGAAAACTAATGTCGGTGACTTTCATACAGAATTTCATGGATCCCGACCTTTTTGATTTGTGACGCCTTAGAATAAAGCAACGACATGTCACATCATGTGACCCTTAATCACTGGTTTCCATTTTGTCCTGGTCCTGTTGAATAATTTTAGAAGCTCGAGGAGGTAAAAGTATCCAGTAATTAATAATAAAAAGCAGAAAAACTGAAAGTATTCTCTGCCTTCCTGTCCAGATAATCATGTCGCGACCCTTCAGATGCATCTTGTGACACCTTTGGGTCCTGACCCACAGGTTGGGTACCACTGAGTGTCAGCACTACTGTAGCTTTCTTATTTCTATCACTGAGGATGGCTAGACTGCTCTTATTTCTGTTGGTAGCAGCATGTTTTTAGGACGTACAGCTGTCGTAGAAGGGAATATAGCCACAGTTTGTTGTAAATATTATTTATTTTACATTTTAAAAGACTTCTAATTAATATTTGGCCTTTTATTTCATATGTTTTAGGTTCTCAGTTGTTACACGTCAAATCTCATTTTAGCATCGAAGTTCATTCTTGACCTTTGGGAACAGTTTGTTCAGCACAATTATTCATCAACTAGAAGTTATATCAATTAGTCTACAGATAGAAGAATAATCAGCATCTAACTTCATAATCGGTTGATGATTGAAGTCATTTTTCAGGCAAAAATGTCAAACATCCTCATTTTTACGCTAAAAGTAAACTAAATGAAGTCCATAGCTCTTTGTTTTCTGTGGCTGATAATGAATCCTCTGACTCTGCGTTCCTCCCCAGATTTCGCCGTCAGCTCTCAGAGCCGTGCCACTCGTTCCCCTCCCCGCCCACGATGGCTCGGGACGGCCGGCCCATCTACCACAGGCAGATGTCCGAGCCCAACATCCCCTTCCCTCCTCAGGGCTTCAAGCAGGAGTATCCCGACCCCCTGTTCGAACACCCGGCCGTGATGGGGGCGCCGCTACCCCACGCGTACCCGGCCACCATGATGATCAAACAGGAGCCGAGGGACTTCACCTACGACTCAGGTGAGAGGCTTGAAGGTAAAAGGCGCTGTTTCACCCCGATAGGTGGAAGAGGTATGAAGAGAGAGAGCAGCTGCCAGAGCGTTATCATTTCAGGAATGGGAGAAGCCGTGGGAGGAGGGGGTGGCGTTTATTGAGTTTGCCCATTATTAGGGCAGGGGATCTGGTTGGGCCGGGTGTCTGTGCCGGTCGCCATTTCCTGTGGCGCTCTAATAGGAAAGAGGAAAAGGGGGGGGGGGGTCAGGGGGCCTTGCTATGCCTGGTCACAATCCAAAATCCGCCCTCCCACGCTTGTCCGCTTCCCTTTAGTTAGAGAGTTAAGGGAGCTAATCATCAGCCCGCGGGCCCGGGGCTACACAAGGACATGAATGGACATACGCCGGACCGCTGGGTTCATTCACAAGGCGGACAGAGAGGACCCAGGAGAGGCCGAGCTGGAGGAGAGTCTGTGTGACCAGGCAGGGAGAAACGTCGCCTCTTCCCATGGCGGTAGAAAAACACTGGGCCTCTTTCAGCTCTCTGTTAGGTTAGACCGTCTTTGTTTTCACAACAGCAGCTCTGCGGTTTCTGTCGAGGAAAACTAGAGATTTTGTTTTTTACTTTGCCGTAGATGTGTTTATTGAGTTGCACGACTTCTAGATACAAAACAACACTCTCTGTAGCTTCCAGGTTGTAGACAATTAGCATAAATATGTCTCAAGATTAGGGCTTCACCCAACAATAATTTAAATTATTGATTTATCTTCTATTACATTATTTTTCTCAATTTGTTTCTCAATTATTAATTCTAAAAGGGCAAACAAAAAAAAGCCTGTAGTCCAAATGTCTTCAATGTGTTTGTTTCGTCAGACCAACTGTCTAAATATATTTAATTCATAATGATAAAAACAATGAAATGCTCAAATTTAAGAAGCCAGAACCGGCTCGGGACATTTTTGCTCAATAAATGGCTTAAACGATTAATCAATGTTCCAAATGGTGATGGATTAACTGTTAAACTAGTTACTTGTTTCAAAGCAAGTCAGATGTACATCTCACTGACTCACAAAGAGCACAACTGTAACATAAAGTTATATTATTAGCTTCTAGTCCTTACAAGTAACCAGCAGCACTCTAAAGATTCAACATAAAGAGAGCGAGGAGGTATATTCTGGGTTATTGAGGTCTTGTGTGCGCTGCTGTCCCGTACTGTCCTGTGTATCCAAGATGGAGCATCAGAGTGAATTTATTGGTCACAGTGGAGCATGTTGACTGGAGCAGGCCTGTTGGAAAGGAAGGGAGGGGAGCTGGTAATTTCATTAGCAGCAATTTCCTCTACAAGCCCATTACTTTGATGAAGTTCAGAGAAATGTTTATGGGCCTAAATGAAGGGCCTCAGTCTGTTTATTGAACATTCGCTTCGTAACCTGTTTGGCCGTTTTCTTGATCACGAGCCACGGCCGCGATGTCTGTGTTGTGGGCGGATCTGACGTATAGAGTACAGTAAATTAAGCCTGAATACAGGCTTCTTTACAGAGAATGATGTGATTAAATACAAGTGGTTAAACAATTTTAGGTACAAAATCTTTCAAATGAGATGGAAAAACGATTATTCTGCAAAATATCAGGGAATCCAGGTTCTCTTGTTAAGTCCGTGATGTTAATGAAGGAAAGAAATAATAAACAGATATGTTACAGAAGGAGGAAAAAGTGATCCTTTCCCGATGTAAGAGAGGCACCACCAATATTTTGCATTGTATTTTAAATTGTGTCAACTATATTATATTAGTTTTCTCTATTGCAATAAATAAGGATTAAGTAAAGAAAAAAAAAACATTGGGGAGACCTAACATTGATTTTTAACATTTTTTTTTCAACTGAGCTCCGCCCACTTCAAACCTGTGGGAAGAGCTCAGAGAAAAGTAAAAATCTCTCCTCTGAAACAACCAAAACAGAAAATAGTTTGTTCATGTAAAATCCGATCACACACAGTCAGAACCTGGTTGAGAAAATGCGTTTTCAGGGCCTTTAAATCTAAATCGACAACTTAGCCGACGTGCTGCCGTGACACAGGAACCAGTGAAGAAGCCAAACTGTAAAAGCTTTACGTTGAGCCCCGTCGCGTTATGAAAAAACTTACATCATGCCGCCGTGTGTTTTCACACCAGCGCCGTGTTTTTGTTCGGTAGTAAATCTTCCTCCGAGTGGAGACGCCGGCGGCGAGTATTAGCAGGGTGATATAGTGAGCCGGCCTGCGGCTGGGAGCCGTTGCTGGGGGGCACGTTCTTTAATCAGAGCCAGTGGTGCATTGAGTGAACAGGCTTTGACTGCTCTCAGATAACTGAGATAGTGTTCTTCATGCTGCCTTCGGGCCCTTTAACACCTACTTCTCCCATTTCTTTCTTGGCTTTCAGCAGAAGTGCCTAGCTGCCATTCTGTCTACTTACGGCAAGACGGCTACCTGGCTCACGCTAACAGGACTGAAGGTACCAGCGATGATACGGGTCAATGTTGTGATCGTGCACTTTGAATTTGGGCTGAATATTATGTCAAACACCCCCTTTCTTAAATCTTTGTATCAGGTTGTATGTTTGACAAAGTGGCGAGGCATTTCTACGACGATACCTGCGTGGTGCCTGAAAAGGTTGAAGGTGAGTTTTTCCATCCGAGTTCTTTTCAATTCTACATGAAAAACACGTGCAGTTGTGCTGGAACCCCATACAGCAGTGTTTCCTCAAAACATCGCGACCCAATTCACAACAGGCCTGATCTTTAAATCGCGAGGAGAGCAAATTCTTGCATAAATGAGTGTTCCTGACTATTTTTACTGCCATCTCCAGATCCCCTTATTGTATCATGAACAGGTCAACCAGCCATTTTAAAGAGATATACATTTGATAATCACAACTTTGTTTTATCAATGTGTTATTGAAAACCAACGTATCCTCATAAACGCTGCGTATAATATCTTACGAAAAGTTACTCCTCATGCGTTTTCCAATGAAAGACAGCAACACGTGTTGATTTCCGCTCGTTCCTCGCATACAGTCTCTTCAAAATAAACTTCTGTTTTCACCCACGTGACGCAAGTTACGTGTCAAATAAAAGAACAAAAAGCATTCTCCTGGCTGAAAGATCGCGATTTGTTGGACCCGCCAGCCCTGTGTGCGCCAATGGTCTTCATACTTCCTCGTTCATGATTACATGGATAACACAAGATATAAATCCGTAGGATATCCATGAATTACGGCGCATTACCTTTCGTAGGTAAAGCTAGCTTTATAAATGAGCACAAATAAATGCATTTAGGAGTTAACAGACTCGTTTTTTCCTCTAATCAGTAAAACAAACTGAAAAAATGTTTGCTAGCTTTTCATGTGAAGATTCAATGCTATAAGTAGCTACAATTATCAGAACAATGTGGCTCAAAGGTGTACTACAGATACAGTATAATTGTTAAATATAAGACAAAGGAAGAAATTCCACAAATTTTTTGGCAACCTGGTTAAAATCCCCCGCGACCCTCCAGTGGGTCTCGACTGGAAGTAAAGGTCCGTTATGTGTTCTCTAGGTGACATCAAGCAGGAGTCGGGAATTTACCGCGAGGGCCCGTCGTACCAGCGCAGAGGCTCGCTGCAGCTCTGGCAGTTCCTGGTGGCTCTGCTGGACGACCCGTCCAACTCCCACTACATCGCCTGGACCGGCCGCGGCATGGAGTTCAAACTCATCGAGCCAGAGGAGGTGAGGGGCTCAGAGAGACGTTGTTACTGTTTATTTAAATGTTTTTACATAGAATCTGTATCGTCTTAACAATGGATTGGATTTGAGGCAGCTTTTACGCAACAGAAGGTCACTTTACATACAAAAAACAAGCGAAATACATCAGTATAAAGCTTGTACTTTATATTGATTTTAACCACCACGTGTTACTTGTGTACTGTAGTCTGTTTAATCTGTCAAAATTGCAATCATTTATTCAAAGAAAATTGCCAAACTTTTGATGGTTCCAGCTTCTCAAATGAGAATTTGCTGCTTTTCTCATTTTTTTTCTCATTGATAACTGAATATTTTTAGGTTTTGAGCTGCTGGTGTGATAAAAACAAACAATATGAGGATGTCTACTTCTCATCTGGCAAGTCATGATGGCCATTTTTCACCATTTTCTGGACATTTAATAGACAGTAATAACAGATTAATTGGAAATAATTGTTAGTTGCCGCTCTACTCCAGTGTGTTACATTCATATAAAAAAGAAAGAAAGTTTGCGTGACACATCCAGGCAGAAAAAGACAATGTCAAAGGTCACCATTTGAAGTGGGATGAATAACATTCGCTGCTCTTAAAGCGGTCAAGTCAGTTCTGTAGCTACCTTAATAGTTTTTTGTTTATATATGTACCTTGTACTCTACCACATCCATCCAGCTGACCCCTTAAGGCCAACGCCCTGCTAAATATTTCACAGGCCGTATTCCTAAAAATATAACCCATGTTGACGGTTGGGCCTTTTGAAATGGAAACAGAGGCCGAGTCTGTGAGCGCCCACATCACACACAGTGGGGCTCAGTCACTATCGCTCGCTGTTGGTGGGATGGAGGAGGATGCAGGTTGCAGGCGTGGGGGGGGGGGGGGGGGGGTTGAAGAGCGGAGGAGATAGAGTGGGTACCTGGCAGCGGTCCACGCAGCCCGACAGTGTCTAGAGGCGCGGGCCAGCTGCAGCTAACAGGGGGGCCCATTCATGCCATCAGGTGACCGAACGCACTCGCTTTGGGGGGGACGCGGCGGACAAGCGTTAGCTCGAGGATTCTGCCTTTTCACAGGCAGGTGTGGCATGTCAGCGAGAAAAGTACAAAAGGCTCAGAGGAGAAAGCTGAAATAATTGAACAAAAAAAAGGAGACGAAGAGGAGAAGAGTAGAATCTGCAGAGGAGAAGCTGGCGAGAGCGCCGCGGGGGCTGTGGGTTTGGACTGCGAGGCCGGGTGGTGGGTGGTCTGGTAGACAGGTGCTACAACATCTGCTGCCTCCTCCGCTGGGTGTGTGACAAGCTCCTAATGAACACATCCCTGGTCAGGTCTGCCGAGGCTGGACGCACTCTAATGACTGTTATTAGCTAAATATGGATTAATAAGTTTGTTTAACATTTCAGCTGCCGCGGGTGGAAAAATCAGGGAAAGGCCGTGCGTGTTTGTGTTATGCTTTGTCTGTTTCTGTTTACCCACTCTGCCTTTGTGTTGTTTATCCGTGTGTGGCGCAAAGGTGGCACGTCGGTGGGGGATACAGAAGAATCGACCGGCGATGAATTACGACAAGCTCAGCCGATCGTTGCGCTACTACTACGAGAAGGGAATCATGCAAAAGGTAAAATAAAAGACGATATAAGACATATAGGTGTACCAACAATAAAAATCCAAATCTCTGTTGGGCTTCGCTCAAATCATGAAAACTCACCTTTTTAAGATGAAAGGTTTGGAGCTCAGATCCACAACGAGAGCCTGATTGATACCACCTGTGTAAAAGGAGGAGCATGTGCTGACGCCCCTCCTCGTGGTAGCTTATATAAGGAGGTGGAGCGTCTTAGAAACACTGACCCTGATCAAGATCAAGGCTTTGAAACTTTGTTCTTGCACACTTAAGTTAAAAGAAATATCCTACTCTGTGTTACAGACATACGTCCTCATTTCTTTCTCCTTGGTCATGTACTGTGCTTCACAGTTTTATACTGACATTAAATGATACAATACTTCAGACAGAGGTCAACTTTAACATGAGCAGGGCAGTTAAACTTAACAAAGAGACTTTCCTGGTTATTTAGATTTGTTCTGAGGTGTCCCTGAAGCTGTTTCACCAACATCCACAATCTTAATTTTTACCAGCTGTAAAAGTTTGCTGCTCCTCTATTCCCTTTGTGCAATGCACTGTGGATAAATACTTTAAACCAACAACACACTCGAAAGTTAAGGGAGTTTTTAATCCTGATTTAGATGCTTTTTACAGTGTGAACACAATATATGCCGCACTCAAAGCCTGCTTAGAGTTTGTATGGAGGATGGATTTGGGACACTGATTGAGTTAAATCTGCGTTTGGCTTGTGATTGCAGGGTGAACACAGGTGTAATTAATCACATTCATTGTGGCCCTGTTTCATTTAGGTGGGCCAGTGACCTGGTTATGAGTATGCTGGCTCACTGGAATGACTGTAACACACGAAATATAATGTCACCGTTGTTCTTTTTATCAGTTAAACTGTGTTTACCGGCTATGAACCTCAACATGTCTGCAGTTAAAAGGGCCTATTGTAGTCGGTAATCAGGCAAACTTTAATGACGTTTCTTAAAAGAAGGAACTCGTAAAAAAAAAATTAAATTCCGCCCACTGAGATTATATCTGCCTCTAAGAGATGTTCACCAAACCCACCATGCTGTATCCTCCTAACACTGTTAACTTTCTCACAATATACTCAAATTTAACTTTGACCGTTTTGGTAGATTGACTTTGAAATGTGTCAGGGATTTCCATAAATAGGAAAAAATAAAGAATGTGTTGACGTTAATTGAATATTAAACCCTTTTACTCACTACAGAAAACATGAAAATTCACATTTTTCTACATTTTCGTCACAAGTGACATTTTCGTGTCCACTGAGAGTCCGGTTATTTTGTAAATAGTACTTTTAAGAAAAGGATGACAATATGATAATATCTCTGGTGATTCATCGGTCGTGTTTAAAGTTCAATGGACTCTCCTCGCCGCGTGTGCGCGCTCTCACAGTTTAGAAATGTCCGAAACCAAAATGTCCGGAACCAAAATGTCCAGCCCCACTCATTTGTCCCACCCCATCCTGTCCGTCTCCGTCCAGGTGGCCGGCGAGAGATACGTCTACAAGTTTGTGTGCGACCCCGAGGCCTTGTTCTCCATGGCGTTTCCCGACAATCAGCGGCCGGTGCTGAAGACGGACATGGAGCGGCAGATCAACGAGGAGGACACGGTGCCGCTGTCGCACTTTGACGAAAACATGGCCTACGTACAGGAGGGGCCCTACTGCCCGCCGCACCCCTACAGCGAGGGCTACGTTTATTAACGCCAGCCCATTAAAACACACACACACACACACACACCTCCACTCCACCCCTCCCCCGCCTCCTCCTCCGTCCATACACCTGAGACTGTCATGTCCTCTAATTCACAGTCGCTCCAGGAATAAGACTGAACACACACACACATGCAGCGGAGCTTCCCTTATCTCTCTCTCTCTCACATAAACACACTTTTCTTTTTTTCCCAAGCCGCACAGCAGGATGGAGAGTGCACTTTATGGACAGGAAGCGCGGTGTTAACCTGCCAGGGGCTAGCTACGTGGTTGGCTTTTTAACCGTTGTTTATGTTTGTACATTAATGTGGGAATCATTCGGTTTGTTTGTTTTTTATTCTTATGATTTTCGAGCATGTGGCGCCCCGGTGAGACAGGACTCAGTGGCAAACGGTCACCCAAGGACTGAATCTTAAGACTTCCTGCAAAAGAGACTCGTCCACGCTCGCGCTGCGGATCGAAGGATGATCACTCCTTTAGTCTCAAACAGCCGTCCTGTACTTTCATGCTCGTTTTAAAGGGAATACTGGCAACGTATTGATGCTTTTATGGTGAAGTGACATGATTTTAGACTGATGTGATGATGAAAGAGACATTAAGCGGCCATCAGCCAGTTTGATCTCGTCAACGATCCCCTCGTCCAATCAAACTGCAGATCTCATCATAACTGTGTTTTGTTTTTTGCCGTGTTGACATGAATCATTCTCTCAATGAAGCCTCTCGGGGTAGTGAAGTAAAGAAACAAGGGTGCATCATGGGAATGTGCTGATGAAAATACGGCCTGTGTTTAAGATAATTCAATAAAGCTCCAAGCCGCTGTAAAATAACTCATTCACCGTAAACAGCAGTTTTCCTTTGTATTCTGAATCAGCAGCGTTGGTTTGTCATTCAGGTGTTCAGTTTCCTCAATGAATAACAGGTGAAAGTGTATGTACAGTCAAAGTGGACACAGCAACCAACACATTCAGGATTATTATTTGCATACCCCCCCCCAAAAAAATAAGATTTTATTGGCTTAAATAATAAAAAGCTAGGAAAAAAATCAAACATAAAGTCAAACATTTCCCTGATTTATTTTCTCTGTTTTGTTCCAGGTGAACATCACGTGTACATTTTGTTTTTGCCTTCTGATTTTTGGTAAAAAAAAAAAAAAAGTACAAGGAATATTTAGAGTCTTATAATGCGATTTAAAAAAACACATTCATGTTATAACAAAAATAATGTTCCATTGTATAATCAGGTAAATGCACATTTTGTTGCTGCTTCAAATTGTAAGTGTATTTTCTAGTCTCAAGAAGAAAAAAGAAAAGAAAAGAAGTGCGGCAGTTACGACCTGCTATTCTGGATTTCTCTCTTTTTTTTATTATTATTATTTTGACTTTTTATTTGCTTTTGTTCAATTTGAGCATTAAAAAAAGAATCTGGTCTGAGTTTTGTTTCTCCGTGTTTACGTGTGTGTGACGGGATCGGCAACGGCGTAAAATTCTGTAATAAAATAGTTCTGGAAAAACACATTTTTATGTAATGAATCATTACATAAAAGTTTTATTGTTTAAAGCCGTATCACTTCTTCTCTTGGCATCGTTATCTGTCTGATTTACACTCAGACTTAACGTTTAGCTCTTCTTTTTTGGCAGAAAAGAGTTTCGGGTCATAGATTTTTACACACTGGAAGTGGAAAAAAGACTGAAGGACTAATAGATTATGGCCTCTTGTCAATTTCCAGGTTGGAGAGAAAACTCCTAACCTCAAAGCATTTAACCAAAGTGACACCTGAGGAAAAATCAATGGCTAATTTAAGACACCACTTTTTCATGTAGGTGAATTGTTTCTGCTCTTACAAGAGTGGCAGTAATGAAAGAAAAAAAAGCAGCCAGCAACACTCCCTTAAAGTTATTATTTCCTTCTGCAAAGCGTCACTATTGCTAAAAAAAAAAAAATCAATGACTAATTTAAGGAAGCATTGTTTAATTGCTTCCACTGATGGGAAAAATGAAAACGGATGTGTAAGTAATGAAAAAACACTACTTGCCTTAATTTGTCAGAGCAGGTTACAAGCCAACCCTATTACAGTCCCCACTCTTGGTTTTTTTTATTGATTGTCTGTAGACGAGGGAATTGCCCTTAACTTAAAACACCTGATTGCTTCCCTGAGGATATTTAACAACATCTAATCCGACATGTGCACACGCAGAGAACAGCAGTGAAGCTTTGAATATGATGAATGAAACTTCTAATCTGGGTTTTCCCTCTAAAAGTGATCTGCAGTAATAACCAGTGAAGTAAGTACTGTACACACACAATATTACTCTCGAAGTGCATTATGAAACTCTGTCTATATCGCACGGAAGATTGTAACAAACAGCATCATCTATGTTTAGTCGTCAGTGCAGTTTGCTCGAGGAAGTCCTCACATATTGTACCCGTGATTCTTAGAATAACTTCAAATTTTTTTAAACACGCAGTCGCTCAGATGGAGCTTCATTTGAGGAAAGTGTGTTCATATCCTCTATTTGTGGGTAATTTGGGTAATTTTTTCTTTTTTTACTTTACACAATAGATACTTGAATATGTTTGATATTTTACAGGCTGTTTACAGTATATTATTGTTTAATTCTGTACTTTTTTGGCTTGTAAAATTGTCGGTATTTCTCCACCAGTGAGTGTGAAGAAGGCAGAAATAAAAAAATATATATATATACCATGCAAATTATCCAAATAATTACAACATTTTACGGACTTTTTAGCAGTAGTGGAAAGTACATTTACTTAACTTATACCACACTACATTTCTGAGGACACATTACTACTTTTTACTCCATTACATTTAGCTACCAGCTACGTTGCAGATTAAGAGTTGAAAAAGCTTTAACAAGCATATCACATAAAATGCATTGCAAATTAAACCACCCAACAGCTTTTAAAATGGGTAAAATTAACTTCAACATTAATATGCTGCTAACGTATGAACGCATTAGTACTAAGAATCCAGTAATAGAATATTGCATAACAAATACTTTTACTTTTATATAAGTAGGCCTACGTATTCCTGATAATACTTGCTACACTTTAACACAAGTAACATTTTAAAAGCAGGCTTTTCACGTGGAACTGCGTCCATACCTTTTGCTTATCAAAAGGATCTGAATATTTATTCCACCCGTGCTGTAGATGTTTCTCAGGGAGGGGTAGGGCTACTTTTGAGCCCTCTGAGGCTGCATGTGGTTTGACTTTTGCTGTTCAATGAACTTCACGGTTACAGACCAGACACAAATGACTGCGGTTTATTCAAACGCACATCATTCAAATCTCATGCAAACTTCTCGGCTCTTTAAATACGTGGTGAGTTTTTAATGTCGGCGGTCAGAGGTTCTGATGCAGTATTTTCCACCTGTGTGTGTGTGTGTGTGTGGGGGGGGGGGGGGAAGAGTCTTAAGGTCACTTGCAGGATTACGCGTCTTACACCTTCTGAAGGTGTCGTGTCACTGAGGCTGTAAATCACCATGCAAATCCTGTTATCTGGCCCCAGTTCAGGGAATCAGGGGCCTCCACTATCAACATATTTACCACTTATGGACATATGCTTTACATCCTGTGCCACTGGCCAAAATCCTCCCCTCCTCCGCCGCACTACCAGCTAATATTCTGTGTATCTGAACTGCGAATTCTGGTCCTCCCCCCACTGTAACTAACAGATGGCCGCTCGATCTTGAGTCATCACAAAGCCATTACGGGAGTGACTTGTCCTCAGCCGGGCCGCCTTGATTCGTGCCCGATGGCTCTCGCCAGTGTTTGCCCGGGCTCTTAAGTCAACCTCGGGTTTCGTGACACGTCGTGTTTGCTCAGGTTAAATGGCCTGCGTTGCCCCCGGAGCCCCCTGATTGGCTGTGACACCGCGGTGTTTGACGAGCGAGATGACACCGCGGCGGGGGCAAATGTGTTTGGCTGTTTGAAACAAGTTGGCTTTTAATGCAGTATGTTTACACACCGAAAAGCCCCTAAGTGTGTTTCTATCTGTGTTGCCAGGGTCTATCAGTGGCCGGACCAGTGAGCATAAATCATTCAGGGGTAATTCAGAGGAACAACAGAGGCTCTAAAAGGAAAAAGCAAGGAAATTATAAAGCCTCTATAATGGAGGCCCCTATTACGGCTGCTGGTCCGGTTTAAGACTGCCTTATAAATGGTTTCATTATCTAGGAGGCTAGACAACCAGCACTACGGCTACATCTGTCCAAAATCACTTCGTGGCCTCTATTTTACTGTACTCCTGAACACAATTCTGAGTTGTAATCACAAACTTCCCCACACATCCCCATTTTCTTCAAGAAGTAACGATTCACAAAACCAAACTCAAATCAACTATTTTCTTTTTTCTTTTTGGTCAGTTAGAAAACACAGCAAAGTGTTGTTGTCGGACAACACACACAAAAACACACACACCGGGGTCATAATTTGTTTCCAGCAGTAGTCACTGCAGCGTTGTGGATCAAAGGTCCTGGAGATGAGAAGCTGCTGACTGCGGCGTCGTCGTGGTCTAATTTAACAGGGCTGCTGTGTTGTTTTATTTTAGGGGGTTTCAGGCAATGCCACCGGTTCCCCACTCATTACACTTTTTTTTACTCTCTTGTTGATCATCTTCCTGCTCCGGAGCAGATGAAACACAAAAGCCAACCCCCCCCCCCCTCCCCCGACACAAAAGCCCGTGACAGTAATAAATAGCCTCCGTGATCCAGGTTTAGAAAGCTGTGAAATTGGATATTGAGATGCTCTCCGGAGCTGCGGGTCGGGAGTAGTTTCAGACTAGACTGTGGGATTCGTCTAATCCGATCACCGGGAATGTAAGACGGGCTAATCGCCTGACGGGCCCGGTCTCTCGTGTCCGCGGGGCGCTGGTGGTGGGGAATTGATGCCGTTGCAGTTTGATGTCTTTCTCTTGTCAAAATGTCGGTACATTGGAGGAGCAATGAAATGCTGTTGTGAATGTTTTGTCTTTTTTTGACTCTTGATACTATTTTATTTGATCAAATCATACCAGTTTACACACATTTAAATAACTCCGCGTTAAAGTGGTAAGGAGACAATATTGCTGGAAAACAACAATAAGTGAAACTACACAGATACGAAGACATTTTGTAAAGCTGCTTTGGAACTTCTTTATTCTTTCGAGATTTGAAAAAACTGACACTTTACATCTGACACATGTTGCAAACTACATGCTAACCAAGCGGCAACCTGCAGATGCTAAAAATGAAGCCGGAAAAAAGGATATGCCAAAAACTGCAGTTCTTTAATGGCCACTTGAGGCTGGCTCCAAAAGTGAGTCAATCCCCATAGACCCCCATGTTAAAAAGCCCAACTTTACAGCAGAAATAAACATGTTTACAGCCTGGTACAAAAAACGGTTTTGGACGTTGTAATTGTGATGTCACCCATTGGTTTGCGGACTGCCGTTTTGAAGCCTTGAGTTTGTCGATTTGGCCGTCGCCATCTTGACTTTCATGCAACCGGTGAACCGAAATTACCATATGTGCACTGAGAAAGAGCGACGCAGAGACGCCGTATACTGCTCTGGCAGTGGTATCGACCTGTCAATCACAGTAAGCCCCGCCCCAAATCATACCCTGCTTTATGGTTTGTTTGACTCTAAATGGACCATAATTTACTAAGTGAACATCATGCTGTATTGAAGAAGACTTGAAACTAGAGATTGAGACCATAAACTCATGTTTACAATGTTTACTGAGGTAATAAATCAAGAGAGAAGTAGAGTCATTTTCTCATAGACTTCTATACAACCAGACTTCTTTTAGCAACCAGAAGAGTCGCCCCCTCCTGGTCAGTAGAGAGAATGCAAGACACTTGGCACATTGGCTTCACTCGTCATAACCAGAGGTTGCCTCCTCAGCTCTACTGACGATCCACCTCTTTGCCCTTTTTTAAGAGTCAGGCCTCTGACGTCACTGCCAAGATGTCGACGGCCGGAGCCCCCGACTCAGAAACTGATG